GTGTTATTACCAAAAGGCATTTATATCCCCCAGTAGAATACTTAACAATGATTTTATTGCTATTTGATGCTATTTTCTGATGAATATAAAATGCTGTCAGTAAACAAATTGCACTCTTAGGTTTCAACTGAGAAATTCTCCTTCACAAGATATATTTGGAATGTGAAAAATAAACTCTATTTAATTTTACAATATTTTGAAAAAACAATACATTTTAAAATTGTAAAAGGCATTTACAATTTTGTAAACAATTCATTTTAAAATTTTGATATGAGAATAAGCTCAGACATTTTCAGGCAAATTATTTTTTTACTTGGATTATTTACAAGCTATTTATTTTACTTACAGTTAAGATTTTTTTTTTTCATTCATCATCTCTATGCATTATATGAGATATGTGGAGATCTATAGAACAAAGAGAAGTGTCATCCCAGGAAGGGCAGGCACAATCTCTTCCATTTATAAATTATCTAGACAGGAGAGGACAAATATAGATGATAAGTTATAGGCTGGGCCTTAAAAAAAGTCAGATCTTCCAGAACCAAATGGTCATCAGTTGTAAATGATCAATTGGAATACTTAAAAAGTCTTATTCACTAAAGTCCAAATGCCACCAGTCCTGCATAGCAAAACGAACCCAGGATCATCTCAGGCATTCAGGAAAACTCCATACCATATTCATAAGATGTATCAATGTCCGGAATGTGCAATACATCCTCCACATTATTTAAAATCTGTACTGGATTACTGCCTGTCCAAATGCAATCTAGGCTGTTGGAATGTGGAACAAAATGATGTAAATATGCATTCAAATACTCAACTTTAGCTATTTGCCTGCAAATCTGGTATACATTATTATTATTATTATTATTTTTTAATGGATAAACTGATCTTCCTAATTACATTTATTTGGAATTCATTTTATCAAGCCTCATGAGGCTAAAAAAGTATTTATTGTATAGATGTTGTATATGTTGTAAACAACATAGTTTAAGTAGATGCTATTTTATCTTATTGCCATGTATATATATATTTGTTTAGATATTTGGTGATTTCAGTGGCAGGAACTTGTTGCCTAATGAGGTAAGCAGTGCAGCAGAAGAACATGCTAATCAAATTGATTCTCAGGAGGAGAATTCCCCTACAATGGATTTAAGAGAAAGAAAGAAAAGTACCATTAGTGGCTAAAATGCAGGTAAATGTATTATACTGTGCATAAATCAAACAAATATTTTTACAGTAAATATTGCTATCACAAAATCACAAAATTGATGTATGCATGTGTCTAATACCTATGACATTTTTTTGCTTTATACACTCTCACTGCTGCTTAAAGGGACACTATTGTCACCAAAATAACTTCAGCTTAACGAAGCAGTGTTGGTGTATAGATCATGGCTGTGAAGTCTCACTGCTCAGTTCTCTTCCATTTAGGCACTAAATCACTTTTTGTTTATGTTTATGCAGCCCTAGCCACACCCCTTCCCTGTATGTGACTCATACAGCTGTCATGCATAATAACAAAATGGTTTCATTTTCAATCAGATGATAATTTGCTTTAGAAGTTTCTATCTCCTACACTGTAAATTGAACTTTAATCACAAACAGAAAACTTTTGAAAGGTCTAGCTAGCTATTAACAGTGTATGAGATAAGAAATTGTAAATTAAACAGAATTTGCAATAAAGGAATTGTAAACATTAGATCTCTCTTTACAGGAAGTGTTTAGGAAGGCTGTACAAGTCACATAAAGGAAGGTGTGACTAAGGCTGCATAAACAAAGTGATTTAACTCCTAAATGGCAGAGAATTGAGCAGTAAATCAATGATCAATACATCAAAACTGCTTTTTTAAGCTAAAGTTGTTTTGGTTATTATAGTGTTCCTTAAGTGAAGCTTAAGAGTAAGTAGGATATTTGACTAATGCATATCCAAGGGTTTCAGCCATCCTTACACCAGCTTTCTTAAACATGCATTCTTATTGTGTGGCAGATTAAGTATCTTGATCTTTGCAACATCTATGAACTGCCACTTGTCCCTATTTTTTCCTGAAAAATATATGGGTTGCATCTGTATCAACAGTATTATAACTAAAAAAATGAGCTGTAATTACTGGCAAATTCATTTGATCTGCTGGCAGTTACCAACACAGGAAAACACAAAATGAAATTCTAGAGCAATTTTGTACCTCCATACAATTCAACTCAACAAGATGTCTCGCGAGATTTTCTCTTGATAAGTTTAATTTTAAACCTAAAAAAAAGGTGTTTCATGTTTAACCCAGTATAAAATCAATAGTTGACCTTATTCATAAATAATTTACAATGCAATTACTAAATAGGCTCAGTATATGTCTGTTTAGCCCTTATAACAGGAAGCCATGAGAATTAAAAGAGAAGATATTTATTGAGCTCAAGCAACATTTACATAGCTGGACACATAATGCTAAATTATTGATTAGAGATACTGGCAGTGCCAACTCAGGTCGATAGTATGAGTATCAATATATTGATATTAAAAAAACAAACCTTCAACAAAACCTTCAACAGTACAATAAAGTAATTTTTAGGCGTCATGCCACTGCAGTTACTTGCAAAATTTCAATAGACTAAAAGTTGCGCATTAAAGTATTTCAATATTACCATGTATGTACATACCAAATATATATTACATTTGATGTGTTTCATTTTGAACTAATTTTAGTTATATATATATATAGTTTATGTGGCACTCAATTATGCCATATACAGATTTATTTACAGGGTTATTCACTCAGAACTGTTATGAATTCAACTTAATTCAAAGTGAACTTCAAATGTATGACCAAAAATAGCCAAACTCCATGGCAGCTATACTCTTAGTTTTGTTCTTATGTCCTTAAATTTGAAATTTTATTTTATTTCCTGACAAAAAAAAACAAAAAACGTGATAGTGTTTATGTATAATGTGTATCTACTGTCTATCGATGCTTTTATTTCTGGAGTAAAAAAAAAAAATTGACGTGAAGCATTGAAATGATGTAAAATGTGAATGTAGGACAACACCTGGGAGAATTAACTGAGTTTGTGATGCTAACCACTCATAATGATTATATCTGAGCAAGGGTATTTACAAATTGGTAAATTGATTGCATTAATCATTATAAATATTAGCATTGTTAATACTCCCCAATAAGGAGCACAGGGCCCAGTTTGTTTTGGCAGTACAGACATTTAGCTAATGAGTATTTAGAAATATTTGTTACTCCTTTTCAAAGTGGCTTTAAGATAGGGCAGTTCTAATAAGTGAAGAGGGTGAAGAAAGTAGATGAGAAAGCAATGGTGGAGTCACATATCATTATTTTCCCAAAGTCTAGCCATATCTTATTTTGTTAACTCTGAGAATTAAAATTGAATTTTGTTAACAAAAAAAAACAAAAACAGAAAAACAAAGCAAATAAACCCAAAGGGAGCGAGAATAGGCCAATCAGGGTAATGTATAACTAATAAATATAAATATTATTCAAATAGTTTGCAGTACATGGATTAGTTATTTTTCCTGCCATTTGATTCACAGATCAAGTGAGAAAGAGTAACCAATATTTGGAAAAATAGGAGAAACTGCAAAAAATACATGTTTATATATTTTATAGTTATAAAATATATTATGTAGAGCAAAAAAAATAAGGCGCAAGAGTGTACTGAGAACGGACAGCATCTGAAACAGCCTTCCCTTCGGTGGGTCCCTGCTCAGATCTCAAGCTGGTTTTAGCTCATCTTGTGCCATTACAGAGAGAACACATCTGAAGCATATCAGACTGGTCCCACCCATACGGGCAGTCCAGATCCCAAATGCCAGCAAGTTCCCTCTGCACAAGAGGCACAGCAACCCCAGATGATCATTTCAACCTTTGTTAGGCATCATCAATGAGGCATAGCTGATATCTCTAGGCACCATGAGTATAAAGGGTAATCCAGGCGTGGACCCCTTGCTCACGGTGCCTGGAGAGATAGTGGCTATACCTTACTGATGATACCTTACCAGGATGAAACGATCATCTGGGGTTGCCGTATCTCTCGTGCAGAGGAAAATTGTTGGCATTTTGGATCTGGACTGCCTGTATGTGTGGGACCAGTCTGATATGCTTCAGATACATTCTCTCTGTAATGGCAAAAGCTGAGTTAAAACCAGCTTGAGATCTGAGGGGGGACCCACCAAAGGGCAGGCTAATTAAGCTGTTGTCCGTTCTCACCTCTCTTGCTACTTATTTTTTTCTCCTTAAGTGTAAAGGGTAATCCAGACCTGGACCCTTTGCTCACGGTGACTAGAGGGATATTGGCTATACCTCACTGATGATACCTTACAGGGTTGAAACGATCGTCTGGGATTGCCATATCTCTCGTGCAGAGGGAACTTCTGGTTAAAACCAGCTTGAGATCTGAGTGGGGACCCACCGAAGTGCAGGCTAATTGAGCTGTTGTCCGTTCTCACCTCTCTTGCTACTTATTTTTCTCTCTATAAAATATTATATTTATATATATATATATCGATATATTTTTTTTCACTGCTCCTTCTTTTTTCCTATTTTTAGTGGTCACTTTCACTTGTTGTGTCCTAGCCATCAATCATCATTTTCCAATTAATCATCTCTTCATTCGGAACCACGGGAAGAATTCTGAATCACTAATCAAAACCGAACATATTTGTTTGTTTCATGGTTCACCTACATTTCATCTCAAAGTTACGGAATTCATATGATCATCAGATCTTCCCAAATTCAGATGAATTTCAGTTTGGAAAAACGTTTGTCCTAGTATACTGAGAATAGACAGTTTTATCATCTCACAGATAAACAAACTTGCCCTCTGCCAGGACTCCATTTTGTATTTCTGCTTTTGTATAAGTGCCCTGTGACGAGAAGGAGGGCTGTCATCCCACTGAGAATATCACTGACATTATCAGCTTGCCGCAATAGCTGTAAACTGTATTGCACAGATGCATGGTATAACTGTACTTACTGTATGTGAGAATTGTGTCCACACATCGACATTGTATAACATTTTGGTAAAATTTGTACTTAAAGGACCACTCTAGGCACCCAGACCACTTCAGCTTAATGAAGTGGTCTTGGTGCCAGGTCCCTCTAGGATTAACCCTTTTTTTAATAAACATAGCAGTTTCAGAGAAACTGCTATGTTTATAATAGGGTTAATCCAGCCTCTAAAGCCTCTAGTGGCTGTCTCATTGACAGCCGCTAGAGGCGTTTGCGTGCTTCTCACTGTGAAAATCACAGTTAGAAGACGCAAGCGTCCATAGGAAAGCATTACGAATGCTTTCCTATGAGACAGGCTGAATGCGCGCGCAGCTCCTGCCGCGCATGCGCATTGAGCAGACGAGAAGGAGAGGAGGCGGAGAGGAGGCGGAGAGGAGGCGGAGAGGAGGCGGAGAGGAGGAGGAGAGCTCCCCGCCCGGTGCTGGAAAAAAGGTAAGATTTAACCCTTTCCTCGCCATCCAGCCCGGCGGTACGTTTTCCTGGCACTATAGTGGTCCTTTAAATATATATCTAAAATCAGAGCATGCAATCATTTTATCTATTCATGTTCTAGCTATGCATGCTATATTTCAAATAAATACTAAGGAAAACCTGGTGGTGAAGGAGTTTATTTATATCTAGTAATAGAAATAATAACAGACGTGGCAGTTCTTGCTTAATATTATTCAAAATCTAATCCACTGAACGTTTAAATATATATATCTTTAAATGGTTACTAGCCTCAGCAGTAATCTACTTTAAAAATTGTAGCCTTAGTGATTGTTATATTTTATTTTTAGCTTCCATTTAAGATGGACCATTAAGAATGGAACAACAAGGATGAAGATGTACGAAGCAATGTGCTATGCTCAGATGAAATCTACGTAGAAATAAATCACCTTTCAAAATGCTTGAATGAAAACCCCAGGTTTACTAGCAACACCTGCAGTATATCGAGCTAAACCAGACTGAACTCTCTCAAGTGTATACTTCTTGACAAGACACTCAGGACTGGAGTCTCTGCAAAGCACAATATTACAGGCAGCCTGAAATGCAAAAAATCTAAGTGCTTATATTTCATTGTGGTCTTGCACTGGAATATTTTAGAAAATGATTTTGAAAATTAAAACACTCCATTATTACATTAAATATTTCATTCTGTTGTTAATTAGGTTTTAAAATATGTTTTTTAATTTGGGTGTTTTCTGGATTTATTATTAAAAACAGAACAATCAGTGAAGATAATAAATTACAAAAAATTCAGTAATCATTGAATGTAAAAGAATACATTGAAGCTTACTTATTTCAGGGGATCAATATAAGATGCTTAAAGACTGACTTTTCAGCACAGTATTTGCAATATACTCACAAAGTTCAGTTTTAAGATACAAATCTTAGCTTGAGGCATCGTTATGGTGCGATACCAAAGTTCACATGTTACCTCCAATAAAAAGTTTAAAAAAGTGTTACATTGTATATGTTTTAGGTCAGTGCTATAATAAAATGATAATATTAATAAAGCATATTAAAATAAATTAACACAATTTGTCATTGTCGCTTTAATTGGTTTTGTTATCAGAAAAAGACTATAAGCTATTATATATCATTTTAAACATCACATGCTCTCTGCCACTTTGTTGTTTTGTACATACCAGCACAAAGGGGAGTGAATTATTAGCTCATAAAAAATATTTATAATTTTTTATATATATTTAATTGTTTTATGCTTTCATTTTTGTTTGTATTATTAGTGTTATTTTAAGTATTCCGGTTTATCCTAAGTACAAACTGCTGGTTTTTATAATGAGTTTATTATGTTCCTTATAGTGATATTTTGTTTTTTAAATGTCTGTTAACTTTATTAAATAGCAAGGGTTATATTAAAGGGACATTCCACTGCCCGAAAATAAAGTAAATACATCACTGTTTATTATATATACTACAATATATCCAGCCAGACTTTCTGTGGCTGTCCAATCACAGAGTTTCCAATACAGCTCAATGAGAATTATTTGCAAGGCAAGTGCTCTGTGGCATGGAGTGCCACTTGAGTTTAGCTCCACTGAACTAAACAACCCAAAAGTGATTGAAACGATTGTTTGATAATCGAGGGGGTGTAATCAGCATGATTTATAAAAGTGCCAATTTCTATGGAAATCTGCCCATTTTGTAAAATAAAAAAATAGGACAAAATAAACCTAAAAAAAAAACCTGCTCTTCAGATTCCTAAAGCACTTCAGGTTTTTAATATCCTTGGAAACTTGCAAGAACAGATATTCAGAGGCAAGCTGAGAAGCTAAATCCATTATGCCATACTAATGTCCTAGTTCAAAGTGGGGATGGACTGATGACAAAAAGACAAAAAATAATTATATATGAAAATATTCGTATTCATGTTTGTACTAGATTTGTGTGAACACAAAAATGTCTTATGTTAAGTTTTTAAGTTAGTAAGTGGCAGATGTTAATGAGTAGTGAGAGGATTGGACACCAGTCGCCTTTAGTAGTCACCAATAACTTTCTGTTGCTACTTGTTAAATTTTGTGGTTAGGAAATAGCCGCTACCCTATACAAGTAAAAAAAAAAAGCAATTGTAAGGGATACCAGCTGGTAAAAACAAGCCCATAGTGTGGAGGGCAATTTTTGTGCTGATTAGTTAATTTTGGATTTTTTTTAACTGTTTAGGGACTGTAGCAAATGCTCTTCATGGTTTTAGCAACTTGTCAAATCTTATTCTTCTTGTTCAGTATTAAAAAAATATTGGGGTGATAAATATAATCTTTTCACAAGGTGACTTGGACAATGGACACGTGCCTGCACACATGCTCAAACATACCGTAGGCACATGCAAGCAGATTTACATATGTTTTAAATAACAGCAAATTATGAGAACGTCTATACATGAGAGAGAAAAAAAAGAAGCTACATAATTTTTTTCTTTTTTTTGCTTGAACAATTTTATTCTGCCATAATAAAATTCAAGATATATTTTTTTACTATTATTACCTAATAACATATTATAGATTAGGAATGTGCAAGTCACATTATTCAGCAACACAAGTTTTTGGACATTGACATATATGGTAATTTATTAATGGAACATTAACAATAAAAAGTATTGGAAGATCAAATTATTTTCTTAATAGCACACTGAGCAACTGATACGAACAAGTTTTGTAACTTGTCATCATACAAATAGACAACAAAATCAAGCAGGAAATAATCTGTTACATACCATTGAGTTTACATTTCAACACTTCTCTTAACATCCTTATATGATGCATTACTTAAATGCATACCAATTTTTGTAGTGGTTTGGCCTGCTCATTCTCGTTGCTGCTCAAAGCATTATCACTTGATTTATTTAATAAATGTGAAGCATGAACATCTCAATGATACAGGATCTATTGGAATGCTTCCATGCTGTGTTTGTTGAAGTGCTAAGTAATTTGCTTCTAGTGGAGACCTATAACGTTTAGCACTACAGTGCATATTTAACCAAGTACTAAAAATCACTCCTTTTTTTATGCATGTGTTAACAGTGATCATCCTAATTGTCAGTTTGACTTGAACTTCTTACCCCTGGGGTTTTAGGCCCATTTCCCTTTTTATCCCTTTGCTTTCGATGGAATTTATTCTAATTTTTTCAATTCAAACAAATCTCTCATCGGGTTAATTCCTGTGTAAATCTACAGATGAATATTTTAAAAACGTGTCTGTTTGAGCTAAATTGAATTCTATTAAATAGTGCCTCAGGGTTTCTTACTGATTTTTTTAATAGTGTCAAAGAATATATAATATATATAGGTATAAAAAAAAAATAATCAGCTGTCGATCCAGTTCCCTATACACTTTGACTCCTCTACAGGCTTTGTGTATATATATATATATATATATATATATATATGTGTGTGTGTGTATGTGTATTTTTGTATTTTTATCTTCACTTGTGTTTATTTAGTGGTTTCTGTGGCTCCACTAAGGTGATTGTAGCACCTTTTCTTTTAGGACTTTTTCACCAGTATATTTTATTGTTATATATATATATATATACATATATGAATATATACATATATACACATATCAGGAAGGCTGCACATACCTAAACATACATTATAGGGCTCCTGATAGTCCCCATTTTTGGTGGGACAGTCACAGTTTTTGGGTCCTATCCCACCATACCGACTATGTTCCCTGGTGTCCTGCTTTTATAGACACCAGTGAAATGTCCATTAGATGCAATGTGTGAGCACATCTTTAGATGCATTTGGGCTGTGTTCAGAGCAATATGACCCTGCAAGGAGCACTGAAGCAGTGTGCCATGCAGGGTCTTGCCCTCAGTAGGCTGGTCTTACATGATTGACATGATTAACATGCAGCCTGGTGCTGCTGGGGCCAATACAATACACAGAATCTAGCACATTTGCTCATTCACTAAACACCAGCTTAAAAGCTCACATAATATAATAGTTTTTTTTTTTCAAAAACACTTGACTTAGGCAAAAATAATGAGGATTTAGTTACAGAATATCATTGCAGAAGCCTGCCACCACCAGGACCCTTATAATGTATGCATGTTTAAGTGAGTTCAGCCCACTTGGTTTCATATCTAAACATATTTGGGAATCCAGGCCAACTCCTTGTTTTTGCACCCGTCCCTGTCACAGGTGCCTCATTTCAGGACCCTATTTAGCCTTGACCTGCAGAGAGTCCCAGGAGGAAGGATTCCCCAAGTAAGTGGATTAATCTCTTAAGAGCGTACATTAGGTTGCTAGGATACGACTTGGCAAGAATGGGGTGCACTGGCGTTGTAACAGGCTTATGCAATGTATGATCATGCACTGTGACTATAGCCCCAATATAAATACATACATTTTTCTACTGCAAGAACAAATATCATTTATAATGTGCACATATTGCAATTAAGGTTAACCTCAGGGGATCTCTCCATTACAGTTGACCTGTTCTATGGCCAGTTTTACATTTGATTTATGTGTCCACAGTGTTGACATGTATGACTAATGTGTTCAACTTTTTAATAAAGGCTGTAATTCAAAGTATGGCACTTAAGGGGGTTAATAAAACATCTGTTATGGACAAACAGAAATCCTGATGCTTACAAGTATATATCATTTTTAAAAAATATATAAATAACAACATTATATATTTTTGCTTGAATGAAATGGAAAATGATTACTTACCCTTTAAGCATGTCAAGATAGAAACTGTAACAAAAGTTAACCTGACCCTGCCCTGAAGGTTTTTTTTTACCTGCCAATAATGCTTGTTAATATACATATTTGGTCATTATGTTTTCACATGTTTTCTGATTAAGCTAGTAACTAAATAACATTTAGAAGATTATTCTTTATTTTAATCCGTAGTCCAATTTAGATTCATATAAAACAAAATTTAGATTCATGGTTGGTGGCAAATAAGGGAGATTACTGAATACTCAGTGGATTTACAAATGCATTTACAGCCGATTCACTAAATGCATTAGTTAATATTTTACTGGTGCCTTTAGTGTCTGTAATATAACTTATTTTAAATATAACATTATGGTATTTGTGCCTACGTCCAAGGATAAATATATGGTTGTGCCACATATATTCACAATTCTAGGTCTGATGAAAATGATCTCTCCAACCACTATATTCAGATTCAGTTTAGGAAGATGGGAAGATTGGGCTGAGAGAGAACTTGGCATCTGCATGGGAACTGAGGAAAGTTTTACTTATTTATATGTAACACCCATGGTTTGAGGCCAAAACTTATTGACACCTCCACAAGACTATCCCATGCCCTACCTTACTCCACCACTTAAAGTCCACATGTTTATGCACTTACAGAAGCATACATAGAGACACACACTCACAGTTAAATACAGATACATATGTTCACAGATACAGTCATACAGCCATACAGCCATAGGTGCACAAACACACACATGCACACACTGGAATCTATGCTTTCAGAGAAAGATTTCAAGATTTAAAAAGTTATATCTACCAAAAACAGTGTTTTAATAAAACATTGAT